ATTTGAATATTTGTAATATTAATGTGGCAGCATGTCAAAAGCCTGCTGGAGCCTAACAGTGAGAGAAAATATGAGAGAACTCATATTGGCGTGCCAGCCTATAGGACTGCTCGGGTGAGGAATGACATAAATACTAAAGTAAATAAATACATACTTATGGTCACTGCACTGGAATATAGGATGGATGGAGGGATGGATGGATAGTATGGAGCAAAATTCTGGGAATTCATATAGTACCACAGATAATGAAATTAACCAGTCAAATTCTCATTTCCCCCATTTCATTCATAGCCCGTTCACATCCATTTGAAAGCAATCAGTAGCTGCAATAGCAATGCTTCAATTCCAGACCTTTTGCGATTCCCTGAGCCCACACAAATCTCCACATCCACACAGGTGGGGAGAGTCTCAACAGCTATGTGTGTTGCATATGGCCTGTAAAGAGTAAAAACAGACGAAACTTTGAGAATAACCAATTACAAAATTAAACAAAATATAGCTAGCCTTAAGCTAACCTGAAGAGGACATTTGTCAGCCCAACGAAAATTTGGCTCCCCACAGGAAATAAAGTTTTAACACCAAAATTAAGAATAAGCACTCGAAAGTTTTGAATTGGTTTTCATAGAGGATAATTTGCAACTATGCCACATCGTCCACTTTTAAGAGCTTAAACAACAGAATAATTAGGTTTCTGTGGTGTTTTAATTACTTCAAATAAAAAAAAAACATACGGAACATTAAAATGATTAATGCTTAGACAGACTCAAAACAAAACACATGACGCAAAGCCAGCACGATCGAGGTGATTCCATCAATTACTCCTCAGGTGGGCCTTGACACCAGTTCTAAGAAGGGTCAGTGAAACCATCCTACAAGCCCGTTTAGGATACTTGAGTTAAGCAGGACACACAGCCGAGACAAGCTTTGTATTGGTAGAGGTAGCGGGGTCTTATTTGGAGTGTCTCGCTCGATTTAACAGGGAGGTGATAAAATATTTAGTCGATTGCTTACAAAGCTAAGGGGAAGAGAGCGAGGAACAGAGAAAGAGGGAGAGGAAAAGTGGGGGATACCCAAATGGCTTGCGTAGTGGCTGGGGAGCTGGTAATGAGGATGGCATGCTGGCATCATCGTTACAGAGCACAACAACTCTACATGGTCTCTCTGCTCAACCGAACACATACACAACACGCTACCTGACAACAATTAAAACATATAGATTAATGAAAGTGCAATCAGGTGCTGGGAAGCTCGCACATGCCCTGAAACAACACTGAAACGCACATATTAAACCTGCAAAAAAAACAAGCGTTATTTCTGCTGTTACGACAAAGAACTTCCAAAAAAATTAGAAATGAAACCATCATTTATCAATTCAAAAAACTGGCTTTCCATGTAAAAGGACAACTATTCAAAACAATGATCCACCTAACAGAAGTTTTGGTATGGTGGGTATAATATGTAATATACAGATGCATAGCTAGAATAAATGCACTTTCGTTTTCATGTCACTATAAGCAGAAACAAATTTTTACCTTCTTAGGTTCTGGTGAATTAGGCAAATTACATTAATTTGTGTCTCAAGAGCTACATAATAAAGGCACTAATTGAAAATTTTCCACACTTTACCAGACTGTACACAGTACTACTGTGTTCCTTTTTCTAAGCAATACCTTTTTGTTTTGTTGGTATCAATGAGGGGAATTATTCCAGCATGAAACTACATGCTCTTATTTTCTTTTTGTTCCTGTTCCTGTTCCTTCATCGCTAATGGGCAATTACTTCTGACCCAATGCTGAGGCTGTGTTATTGCACCAACCCCACAATTGATTGGTTGCCCATAGAACTGAGCTTCCACAAGCACTTTAAGGTTAGATTTCCCTGTTTAAATAATGGATTGCAAGTCCATGAAAAGAAACTGCACAAAAAATAAAAAGGTTGAGATTGCTGTTATTGGAGGGGACTCTCAGTGGAGATGAGAGGGGAACTGACTCCACACAAGACTCCAGAGAGTGAGCTAGTTATTTGAGCTAGAAATGGTTAGATCATCTATTTCTACTCCGGCCTTTTTTCTTTTTTTTGTCAAGTCAGTGTTTGTGCTGACGACTATGGTCAACCAACACAACATTTTAGGCCACAGTCTCACAGTCCTAGAGATCGATTGGCAATCATCTGGTAACCACTGGTTCAGACGGAAAAATGTATATTACACAAAAATTTGTGAGTAGTTTGCTGCACCTAAAACCTCTTTACTAGCAGATTACTGCATGCGCCTGTATTTTGTATGGAATATGCTGATATATCTGCAAACACTCGCCACACGGTAATGAAACGGTAATGAAACCTCCTCCCGCAATGAGAGTGTTCACAGAGAAATTGTATCTTCCACACAAAATACGGGCAAGCACAGCAAACCTACGAGTGTCCAAAAAATGGCAAAGAGGTTTTCTTTGTAGGGGTTACCTACTGGTCTGGAGACCTGTGGGATCGAGGCCTCACAGATTCATACTACTGTCAACTCTTGTTAAGCTACAGACCCCAGTAATTTCCTCTTAGTATAGGCTGAATTCACTAGCTTCCATAACAATACTAGGCATACATTTAGACATTGAGCTTAGGCAGTGCACTATGAAACAAAGCGGGAAAACAAAAACAACACAAATAGAACAAAAACAGGCTTCAACACTGGATGAAATTTCAAACATCAGTATTGATCAGAATTTCGAAGTCCCTGCACTGCTGCTAAGTAGTGCATTTCCATCAGAGAGAGATGAGATGATTATCTTAGCTGGAAATGTACTAGAGAAGGAAGTCTGGAGGATTGTAGGAATTAGTGGTCTTTGTAGAGCAATTTCTACAGTGAGACCATTGTCTGTACATGAACATGCGTGTTTGTGGTGACTTCCACTAACACAAGCCACAATAACCCTCATACTAACATTCCAGTTATTCTGCACCAAGTGTGCAGAAGCCTGAGGTAAATAATGGGGAAAGAGGCAAAGTTACGCTACACGGAGAAAAGACTGACAAGGATCAGTGTAAGTTTACATCCATTAAAGACTATGAGACTGTCAGCGCTAGAGGACAGGCAAGGTTATTTGGTTCATTTGAATTAAAATTCCTGCACTGCATAGGAACACAAGTGCATGGCATGCTCATGCACACGCCACACGTGCCAACAGCATGATTAGTGAGTCAGGATTTAACACGAATAAACAAATAATTAATGTAAACATGAAGCAAAACTAGCATCAAGATGAAGTCTGTTAACAGGCTTGAAATGATCCAATCTTCATGTCAAGAATTATGACAGTGACGAGAGCTACTCGCCTATCGATAAGACTCTGAGACCAAGACGTTCAGGAGCCCGCAGTCCAGTAACAAAGAAGGGTTGTTAGGTCAATGTACAACCAGGAGCATGTTCAGTGGACTTATGAATATTCAGCACAAATGGCTCGGTCTGACTGTAGTATTGTAACCGAGTACTCTATCAAGGCCACGTGGCTTCAAGGTGATGACAATGTGTAGTTTGTTTTTATTTTGCTTATTATAATTATTTTGTTGTGTTTTTGTTTTTATATTGCAGACCAATACATAAGTATTGTGTGTCACAAACACATAAGTTTAAGAAAAGAAAGACAAAAAAAACATACTTAGGACATTTTTTTTCAGTGAACTAATTTAACATTAAATATATTGCGTGTACCAATCTCAATGGGCAGTCTTAGCATTTGATTTAAGTGATTTTGTCCAGTACATGATGGACATCAGAGGAATCAGCTTTTAATTAGACTGTTGACCATGATTTTCAGCCTAACTGGATTTTATTCTAAATTTGCATGATCTGTTAACAAACTGAGCCCCTGATTTATTGATAATTGTGCTTACTTAAGAGAAGCGAATATCGGATAAATCAAAGTCGCTGATCAGCCGATCACTTTAATTATTTACAAGATAAACAAGAGAGTCTATCTTATGCATTTAAAGCATTGAATACACAGATTACAATTTATTTGTAAAGAGAATTATAATATTGAGAAATGGTGTAAAAATTTGAAACTAAATTAAGAGTTTAGATCAACCTAAGCACAGCCTTTTAACTTCTGCCCTGTTATTTTCATTCGAAAGTCATCCAATCTTTGGCAAGGACTTTGTGTGTTTGTTATGATGTGCGTTAGTGTGTAGGTGGGTTTTGCGCAGGACATGGTGCAATGTGAGAAGGATACAGTAGACACAGTCACACACAGTGTGCTTTGTAGATATGTGGCACTTATATCTGTTTATTGATCAGACCAGATGTGGGTAAATCAATCTTATCTGAGCTCCACACACTTTCCAACTAACCCCGAGAGGCAGGCCAACCAATACTTTGCCACACCGAGAGCCTCAAGCCACTCGCATTATCGTCAGACACCTTGAGCAAATCTTCTGTTTGTATATGTGCGTGTCAGAAAAACAAGGTGCATTAGAGGGCACGCAAAAACAGAAAGTGACAGCTTGAACTAAAAGCCCATTCAACCTTCCTTTTAGATATGAGCTATTATCTATTCCTCAGAATGTATTCATCAGCACATCGCACTGAGGCAGAATCAAACCTTTTGTCATCTGAAAGGTAGGATGGACAAAAGGCTGACATTCACAGCAGATTACAACTCAATTCTAATGTATCTTTTTAGTTCCCTGGAGGTAGATGTGATTAAGGAAAAAGTATGGTGTATCATAAGCTGCAAAACATGAAACACAATCAATTCAGCCATTACACTAGAGTGGAAGACCTGTGACCAAAGGTAACATGATGCCCTGTTGTATGTGATACCAAAACAGAATAAATTAATGCCAACAGACTAAGGTGAATTGATCTGTTCTATTCTGGGGAGTCCATCTCTTTAAAAGATTGAATAATGAAAAAGAAAGAAAAATGTACGTAGGGCCCAGTAAGTACTGATAATACACTCTCATAGCAACCATGGTGTTTTTTTACAGAAAAAGATCAATCCACTTACCTCGGCAGACATTGCCATTGTCAGGTTCAAACCCAGCTTTGCAAGTGCAGCTACCGATAGGAACCATCCACTCTCCATCTCCGTTACAGTAGAGCTTTATAGGGACATCTACTTCCTCTGAGTTTGCGATGCAGGTCCCTCTAGCAATGACCAGGGAAGTGCTTTCAGCCCCTGTCATGGTCTCTGGAAAGACTGCAAAGTTCTGGACCACACTTGGACACTTCTTATAAAACACCCTGACTGACAGAAGAGACATACAGGCCCCATAGTCCTGAAAGGCCAGGTAGAAGCCATTTTTAGACAGCGGACCAAAGCTTCGAACCTCTGTGTTAACTTTCATCAGGCGTCCGCCAAAGTCCACCTGTGAGAAGCTTTCATCAGCAGCAATGGTGTCCACTTTGAGGTAGGGGGCCTCCATCCAGAAGACTGTGCCTTTAGTGGCAATGACAGCATCGTTTTCATAATAGTAGAGATTAAATGTCTCCTTGCAGGAACCGGGGACATTTGGGATGGAGCTGCAGTCGCGCACGGTGAATCGTATCTCCACATAGATGCGCTGTGCTCCGCGGCGATCAATGAAGGTTGTGAGGAGCCAGTTGTTTTGACTTGGTTCGAAGACATTGCACACCTGGTACGTCCTGATGGTGTTGAGGTTTTCGTCATAGCCACTCACCTCCTCCCACTATAGAAAGACAGAGAAGAGAGAAAGAAGTCCACATGGCTGATAAGTAATTATCTGCTATAAGGCTGCAGTGCTCACTCTTTTTTGATAGAGAATGCTAATATTGGCAGAGCCACAGAGAATTCATACACATATCAGTAATTTCCCTAAGGCACTAACTTGAGTCCTCTTCCTGGACTGAGAAAAATGCATCAGCTTATTGGGGCTTGTTCATCCACTGATGACACACAAATGTATTACTTTAAAAAAAATTTAATTCCTCAAGTGCAAAGCAACAATTTATTGTCTTGTTTATCAAGTAGGCTCACAGCTGTAGGATGTGCACCCCCACTGCATAAGCGCAAACCAAGGCATGATTTTGGATGCAATACCGTTTTCTGTCAATGCCAAGTTTCGCTGGGCATTGAGTCGATACGTTACAAAATATAGTGTGTAACAAATTCAAGATTAAGCACTGCTGAATTACAATTAGACAGACAGGCAGGGACTTCACGAGAGCCAAGGATGGATGGAAAACCATTTGAGTGCATACTGAACTGAATTTCACTGCAGGCCATTTCTTGCAGGTGTGACCCAGAAAGGGTCTTGGATGAGCATCAGAAGCCCCTTGGGGAATTAACTCAGTGCACCAAATCATGCTAAAAACGTGCCATTAACATTTGGCTGGATTCACTGAGAATCAGGCAGAGAAATCACAGAAAAAAAATAGAAGAAGCTTGCTTTGAAATCATCTGAGTAACCGTCCAGCTGTGCAAAAGCTGGCCATGCAAAAATTGTTAGTGGCAATCCACTGATATTCAGTGTGCAATATTTGAATTAGTTACAGTATTTTTAAGAGGCATGTATTATTCTTTAGCATACAGCAGCAGAGCTCACAGACCAAAAAAAAAGAGTTACATAAAAGCACCAGTGAATTCAAATGAATATTTTGTGGAATATTTTGAGAAAATGATCTGAAACACTTTTTCATTTTTTTTTATTTTCCTTGGATCAATTTCTATCTTTATAATAATACAATGCTTTTTGCTTCCATTTGAAGCAACTGCTTGGCACAAAGATTTATTTCTCCAAAGTTCCCAACACCAATGATCCAAACAGCTGAAGGCGAGAAGTTAATGAGGTCTATAGTGGACTGAGTGGGCCTCAAGTCAGTTCATGTTTCTTATGTGCATACATCTCCCTGTGCTTCCTCCTTCTTATGACCTTTAAAACTCCAGCTGCTCAATCAAGCTTAATAGAGAGGAGAAGATATTGGCTCTTCACACACAGCCGCAACATCCAGTCAAATGATGGAAAAAAGTCCATAAAATGATGTAAGGCGAGATAGAGCTGATAAATGTGAGCCGTCGAATTTTGCTGTTTGAAAACCAGCGCAGGTAATAAAACCATTTGGCACAAAGAATATGTGGAAACATCTGGCAACAAACAAAAAAATGGTTGGGTCTAGTAAGGGCATGTAGAGGATGGAGTGGGAAGGCACGTGAGGAACAGTGGCACTGCTGACATGATAAACGAGTTTACAGAAATCTGAGGTGCAAATTAAAGCCTTTTTTCACTGCTGCTCCCTGTGTGCCCACTTCACTCTACTCTTCTCCCCCTCTCCTCTCTTCCCCTTGTGCTCTCTTCTCCCGTCTCTGCTCTGTAATGACCATTCATCAGCATTACAGAAACCTGTCCCTTTCAGCGCTGCCTGTTCATTAATACAGCCAGCCCTAGGCTCCTCTGCACCCGTCTGCTCCAGTCTAGGAGGGGGTCCTCACCGCCTCTTGTCTAGCCAAATGACCACCATCTTTCACGCCAGAGAGGAGCCTGAGGCGTCTCCGATAATGCCCATCTAGAGTCTGTCCAGAAATTCATTGGCTCATATAATAATGAACTATATCTTTCTCCTCCTCAGTAGATATGCGGTGTCACGGCTGTTTAAAGACAACCAAAACTAATAATAGGTGCATTAGTTAGTCGAAATCAAACTTTGTGACCCAGTTCCCTCTTTGCTCTTTTCAGTGCTTTGTTATACCTGTGTGTTTATGTGTGCTTGGAAAAGGTGCTGCTGATAATTTGATGGTTTAGCAACCACATATTGATTTGCTAGCTGTTGTTTTGCTGCACAAAGCTTGAGGCACTCTTCTACTTCTATAGTCCAAAACATTTGATTATTTTGAGCATTAAAACTGGTATATAACTAATATTTGGCATCTCTTTAACCTTATCCTAGGACCTGACGTCCACATCACATCACATTTTGGGTTATATCAATTTTGCTCTACATGGGCCTGATATCCACTTAGGAGAACATTATACTGCTACTGTTCTATCAAAATTTTAAACGAATATCCTCATATGTGGCTCTCATTTTTCTTAAAAACAAAAATAAGGTAAAAAAACAACAACAACTGGTAATTCTTTGTTTTTACATTCATCGGGCCCCAATATGCCCAAATATCAAAGAGAAATTAAAAATGCATGTCATGGAAGAGTTCTGGTCTTAGGAGGATAATTTTCCCACTATTTTCAGAGATGTGACGCATACACTCATGAACAAAGTCATGTTAATATGGTGTCTCGGCCCCCGCTGTTACAGTATTTCTATGCTTTCTCCATCCATCCATCCATCCATCCATCGTCATCCGCTTTGTCCGGGGTCGGGTCGCGGGGGCAGCAGCCTAAGCAAAGAGGCCCAGACCTCCCTCTCCCCAGCCACCTCCTCCAGCTTGTCCGGGGGAATACCAAGGCGTTCCCAGGCCAGCCGAGAGATATAATCTCTCCAGCGTGTCCTGGGTCTGCCCCGGGGCCTCCTCCCGGTGGGACATGCCTGGAACACCTCACACCCAGGAGGCGCCCAGGGGGCATCCTTGTCAGATGCCCGAACCACCTCAGCTGGCTCCTTTCGATGTGGAGCAGCAGCTGCTCTACTCTGAGCCCCTCCCGGATGGCCGAACTTCTCACCCTATCTCTAAGGGAGAGGCCAGCCACCCTTCGGAGGAAGCTCATTTCTGCCGCTTGTATCCGCGATCTCGTTCTTTCGGTCACTACCCACAACTCGTGGCCATAGGTGAGGGTAGGGACGTAGATCGACCGGTAAATTGAGAGCTTCGCTTTTACACTCAGCTCCCTCTTCACCACGACGGACCGGTGCAACGTCCGCATTACTGCAGCTGCAGCCCCAATCCGTCTGTCGATCTCTGGCTCCCTTCTCCCATCACTCGCGAACAAGACCCCGAGATACTTGAACTCCTCCACTTGGGGCAGGAACTCATCCCCGACCCGGAGTGGGCACTCCACCCTTTTCCGGCTGAGAACCATGGCCTATGCTTTCTGTGCTTTTTAAATCATTTAAGCCAAATGTATCTGCCTCGTGGCATCTGTGTATTCTTGCCAGAGGCTCTTTCTCAGACCAACGAAAAAATAAATATAAATTTTACTTTTTCGAATAGAATCGAGCCATACATCTAAACACCTGTTCTAGTCACAAAAATGCATATCAGAATTAAGCATGCACATAAAAATAAAAAAATCAAATGAACATCGAGAGCAGAAGAAGACCACACTAGGCGCCACTCCTGTCACCTAAGAACAGAAGTTACCTTTGTCCAGTTCACACTGGTCAGTGGAAAAATGTTGCCTGGCCTGATGAGTCTTGATTTGTGCTGCAACATTGCGTCGGTAGGTTGTGAATTTGGTGTAAACAACATAAAAGCATTGATTCATTTTGCCCTGTATCAATAGTTCATGCTGGTATTGGTGTTGGCAGCAAAGTGAGTTCACTTGCTCGCCCTGCCCATGCCTTTATGACCACAGTGTACCCATGTTGGTGCCTGCTTCTGGGGAGAAAAGGCATCACGTCGCAAAAAATCATCAAATCATCTCTGTCTGTTTTTTTTTTTCTTCAACATGACTATGAGTTTGCTGTACTCAAATGGCCTTTGAGTCACCAGATCTCTATCCAATAGAACAACTTTGCGATGTAGTGCAACAGGAAAGTCGCATCATGGGTGTCCAGCTGACAAATCTGCAGCAACTGTGTGATGCTATAATGTCAATATGGACCAAAAGCTCTGCATGCTGTCCTTTATGGAGTTTAATTCTGTTAATGTCCACTGATGTTTTTATATCCGGAGTATTTGCATGCACATGCCAATTTTCACTTACTAGCGTGTTTATGTGCCTCTATAAAATGAGCTCACTCCCAGCTAGTTTTATTTTACACAGTTTTGCATCACCTAATTCATATTTTATCATTACCAACCTAACTGAACTTAAACTTTTTTTGCTGATGAAAAACTGTCAAATACCGAGAGCCTTTTAACTCAACACTTATTTGTAAGCCAATTAAAGTAACCACCGGCACCCCTCTAATAGCTTTGCTTTTACCATTAATATAGGAGACACTTGTCCCCTGCCCCTGATTGTCAAGTGTGGCTATTGTGTGTGTCATTATTGCTGCTCTGTTTTATGGGCAGTAGCAAGGAGATGGAGGAGCTATGGATTCATAGAGCTCTTAATGTTTGTGTTAATGACCAGTTACAGCTGGCTGAGCTGGAGAAGAGAGGGTTGAGAAAAGGGGGAAAAAATACAGAGTGATAAATAAAAGAAAAAAACAGGAATGGGGAGGAATCAGGAAAAAGGGGGAGGGTTGAGAGGGTGGGGGTAATGTATTCAGACTGATGTTCCCCTTCCCACAGCCTCAGCTCACTGCCATCAAGCCATCAATACTCTGCCCTCATAAAAACCATCCATCACATTGATCTCTTGCCATTATCCTCAAAGACTAAAATAACACAGAGCAGCTCAGATGGCCACAGTCTTGCTCTGTGCGGACTACAGCATCCAATATTTGGCTGGGGACAAGCAGAGATGGGAGGAATAACCAATCAGAACAAGGATGTAACATCTGTGGAAAATAATGGGCCAAATGGGCTGGAGTAATGAGTCATTTGGAGGAGGCATGGTTGGGGCAGTATAAGAAGATACCTTAAGGAAATGAGAAACTTATTTTTTTA